ACGGCTGTAGCTGGTGTGTGCTGTGCGTGCTGTAACGGGGAGCGGAGGAGGATTTTTCTTGCCTCACAACATGCTACTAACTGAACATGAGGGAGACGGTCATTGCTATGAAACAGAATCCCAACGAGGAAAGCCAGTTATGAAGAGAACAGAATTTTTAACTTATGGCCAATCTCTGAAGTCATGGTGTCCTCGTGTTTGTCCCAGATAAGAGGGAAAGAGAGGCCAGGAAATGAATCCAGCACATCATGTCCCAAGAAGGTCTAGTGAAGGGCAGTTACACGGGACGCGTGATATTCAGGTCACCTGGGAAAGGCGAGCATGCGTGTCTGCACAGCGCATGGGTCGCTGTTACCTGATGCTGCCTCTCAGGGAAAGCTGCTCCCCCGGGGCCCAGAGCGGAAAACAGCCCTGGCTTCAGCGTGGCTTAGGGGTATTGCTTTATACCGCCCAGACACACATGAGATTGCAGAAATGGAGACGCTGCCTCTTAGCAAGCTCAGAAAGGCCCTCCTGTCCTCCAGCCCCTCAACTTCAGCTCCTGCAGCAGCCGTGGTCCCCACAGTACAGCACGGCCCGGACAAACTGCCGTCCGCTTCCGGCGCTGGGAGACTCCAGTACTCCGATTTGGAGAGAGAACTTCTGCCCTGTGCTTTAGTGTGTGTCCACCCGGAGTCCCTCTGCCCCCGTCGCCCACTGGAGTTCAGGGAAAGAGAGCCGAGAGGACTGTCCTTGGTGAGGGAAGGCAGGACTGACCTGCTCCTCCTGTAGTGCTTGGCCCTGCTCTTCTCAACTGCAGAATTCCTGCCGTCCAGTGGGACCTACAATCCTAGCTGGAGCTACCGTTCGGCTGACAGCTGACCCAGGCTGGTGGCTGCTCATTAGTTCTGCAACGTGTTCTGCACCAGAGCCGGTGTCTGACAACACCCTGCTTTTTCACAGGAGGCCAAGGCAACAGCATAAAGCTCTGGGCTGATGCTCCCCCTACAACCAGTGCACTCCCATGGGCACGCTGGTCCTCGGCCATCGCTAACATGACTAAATCTGATGCTGCATGTTTCCCGTGGACAAGGTGGAGTGCACCCTGTGTACCTCCTCCTCTCCCTCAGCAGAAGACTTTTCTTTGGCTTTCACAGTGAAGCTGGCCATCTGCACACTCCTTTTGGCTTGGGCTGCTCTCTCCAGGCCAATGTCAGGCCCTCAGTCCCTGGCAGCCAGGCTTCTGGAGTTTCAGTGTCCTGAGCTGAAGAAATGTGTAAGTGCTCGTATACCTCTGCCCAGCAAACACTCAGCCCAGCACAAATACTCCAAGGGAAGTTTACCTTTCTTAGAACTTGCAGTTCTCAGCTGGAGGCTCTGGGGCTCGGCACCTGGGCCGACCACTAATCTCCCTTCTGACTGGAAGCTTCCTTCCTGGTAGGGGAGCTCTTCTGGTGGTGGCCAGGAATACACAATTTCAGCAACTCGATTGGCAATGCAAACAACTTTGGGGTCCACAGCTGAAACAAGACAAAATGGTGCTAAGAGCCCTTCCCAGAACTTGG